TTTTTTTTTTTTTTTTTTTTTTTTTTTTGTCTTTTTGGAACTGAACCCAGGGCTTTGTGAATGCAAGGCAGACGCTTTGCCACTGAGCTACATCCCAACCCTCTCCAAATTATTGGGATTATAGATATGCACTACCGTGCCAGGCTCTGTTAGTTCTTGTTAAAACAAAACAAACAAACAAGCAAAATGGATAAAAGCATTTTCTATAACAGAGCATGTTTTTATAAGTAAAGACAAACTTGTGTTTACATCACAGCTTAGGGTCTGGTGAACCATATGGTTCTCTGACTTCCCTTCTTAGATTTCATGCTGACAGTCCCCCTCTTCTTCTCCTCTTCCTCCCTTCTTTTGTTTTTGGTACTGGGGATCAAACTCAGGGGTGCTCTATCACTGACCAATATTAGCCCCTCTCCTTTTAAAAGTGTTTTACCATTTTGAAACAGAGCTTCACTGAGTTGCTGAGGCTGACCTTGAACTTGTGAACCTCCTGTGGCAGCCGTCCAGGTGGCTGGGTTTGCAGACGTACACCACTGCACCTGGCTCCATTCCTCTTCTTAATAACCATTTCACTTCAGTGTGCCACACTGTTGATTAGACTTTAGCTGTCTCAGGTATGATCTCATTCCTAGGATGCATCTTAGATTATTCCCAAAGCTCAAGTTCAGCTCATTCCTATAATACATCAGGTGTGTATTTATGGAAATCTTTTTTTTCCCCTAAAGGTAACTATTTCATTCCATCTCACCCATTCATATGTTCATTTTACTGAAGTTTCAGTTTTACAGGCTCCTGGTGGGCAAGAGGTGGGACGGTGCTGAGCAGCGACGCTGGTTCCCATTCTCCCATTCCTAGCCGTGAGCAGCCAGCTTTCTGCTGCTGCTGTATTAACAAGGACAAGGATCATCTACTGGGACTGTTAAAAAGCAATCTTGGGCTGTGGTTGTGGCTCAGTGGTAGAGCTCTTGCTTAGTGCATGTGAGGCACTGGGTTTGATCCTCAGCACCACATTAAAACAAAACAAAAACAAAAACAAAACCTATATAAAATAAAGTTATTTAAAAAAAAAAAAAAGTAAACTTACTCCTGGATCTGGGAGCAGTATCAGCTCATCTGTGCCTTCCAGCTCTTTATCTTGTGATTCCATGGCCTCYGTATGTCTCCTTGTACTGTTTTAGCTCTCCTGTCTAGATCTATGAGCTTCATCCACAYCCTTTTCCCTTTTCCATTTATTTAGTATCCACGTGTCTAGTGAGTTTCTCTTTTCTTTGGCTGAAGCATCTTCTACAATGTCAAGTGTGCCTGTCTTGCAATTCTGTAGTGTTGTCATCGAAGAGAAGTTCTGATGAGATTTTACTTACACAAACAGTGTCCTTTTGAGGATAAAATGTTATCATTCTTTTTGATTCGTATGTAACTTGTACATTTTATTTTTTAATTCTTACCATTTTCTTTATGTGTTGGAAAGCTTTCCCATGGCCCAGATTTATTTTACTTATGGAGTTACCTTAAATTTGTGGTTATCAATGAAAATGGGTTTTTAAATTTTTTTTTTTTTTTGTACCAGGGATTGAACCCAGAGGTGCTTAACCACTGAGCCACATCCCCAGCCCTTTTTTATATTTTATTTAGAGACAGAGTCTTGCTGAGTTGCTTGGGGCCTTACTAAGTTGCTGAGGCTGGCTTTGAACTCAAGATCCTCCTACCTTAGGCTCCCAAGCTACTGAGATTATAGGCGTGTGCCACCGCGCCCAGCTTGAAAGTGGTTTTGTTGGTATTTAGTCAGTGTTAAGGAAGGGATGCCCACTTCGCTGTCGATCTTTCTTGCCAGAACTCCTTCCAATTATTTTTTACTATTTGTGAGTAATACAGAACACCCTGTTATGATTTAGCCAGGATTTTATAAAATCCGTAAATGAACTCAGCCTTAGCCAGTGTCATATCCAATGTTCTTAGCCATGCTTTGTGTACCAGAGGCTTAGGAAAAGAATAATAAGGGGGAACACGAAACCTGTTCTTAAGCTGCTCTTGTGATATGGCAAATTGGCCGTCCCTCTCATGAACACCGTCCCTCACCCCACACCCAGGCAGCACTTTCAGTGGTGGGGTTGATGGGAGACTCTGAAGGAATTCTCCCTTACTCGCCTCCATTTAAACTACTCCATGCCCCGTGGAGCCCGTGACCACTGAACACAGTCACCTTCACCTCCCAGCTTCTCAGGCCAGTGCCTTCCCTTACTGTTCCTGTGGAAGGCACCCTTTATGGGAGTCCCCAGTGACTTTAACCTCCTGATAATCACACCTCATTGATCCACCTTGAAAGAAAGAGAATAGAACAGAATAAAATAGAATAGAAAAGAATAGGAGGTAATGAGGCTTCAGGTTTGAGATTCAGTTATTAAAAGTCTGGCTTCCATCTGGGTCTCTCCCTGTCTTGGATTGCTCCCTCCAGGGAAGCCTGTTGCCCCTGGGCAGTTCTAGGGGCAGTTCTGCAGAGAGGCTTCTGGGAATGGATGCTCTGCGTGTGGGTGTGACTGACAGTATCCGCCCTATGACAGACCCTGAGCCAGAAGCACCCAGCTAAGTCCCCAAGGTCTGTAAGTTTTGGAGCCATTGTTATGCAGCAGTAGATTGCTGATCCATTCACGGCTTGGGGGCCAGGAGCCTGGCCTGTTTGACTTAAAACCTTCTGATCTTCCAAGTCCCCCTTTTTCTGTGGAACCCAGTCTAGTCCCAGGTTGGATGGTTTTCATCTTGGGTTCAGCTAAGGGTTAACTAACCTGAGACCACAGCATCTTTGTCTACTGAACTTGGAGAGTGATTGTACCAAGTAACTTCCGGATTCCTTGTAGGACTAGAATTCTGTGTTTCTATATTTCTTTCTAGACTGTGTCTTCAGTTTCTTCAAAAGAATGAATATGAGGCCAGGCACGGTGGCATACGCCTGTAATCCCAGCAGCTTGGGAGTCTGAGGCAGGAGGATCACAAGTTCAAAGCCAGCCTCAGCAAAAGTGAAGTGCTAAGCAACTCAGTGAGAYTCTGTCTCTAAATAAAATACAAAATAGGGCTGGGGGAGTGGCTCAGTGGTTGAGTGCCCCGAGTTCAATCCTTGTTAACTCCCCTCCCCGAGAAAAAGAATGACTGTGAGAACTGAAATCATTAGACTTAACCAACTTGTTTTGTTTTTAATTGACAGTAATAATTATACATCTTTATGGGGTACAGTGTGATATTTCAGGACATCTATATAGTACAAAACAATCCACTTGGGATTTTTCTGTCATTCATCATCTCAAGCATTCACTCTGGGATCTGCCTTTCCCGGCTGACCTGGAGGGAGAAGGCAGCAAGCAGATTAGGCTTATGGGGTCACAGAATAGCATCCAGCTTCAAGATCCTCAGCTTCTAAACTTCCCTTTTCTCCCTCCTGTCCATACTGGCCTCACCAAGTAAGGTGACCCCAGGAGATTCAAAGATGGAAGCATAACAGGAAGGAGCCCAGAGAGACCCAGACTGGGGGTAGCCAAAAGCTCAGTAAGTGAGATGACTGATTTCTCAATCCAAGATTTATAGAAAYTGATGTTTGTGTAGACTCTGGGCTCTTTGGTTTGGGATGCAGTTGGATCCCGAGCTCACCACTCCCACTCGAACCCAGAAATCTTCCCAGAAATCTTTGACTTCAYACATCAGAGGGTCTCCTCAACTACYCTTAGAAAAAAATTGGCTAGGCTGCTCAGGCGATGGAGGGAAGGAAACTAGGGAGGCTGAGGCAGGAGGATCACAAGTTTGAGGCCAGCCTGGGTAACTTAGCAAGGCCCTGCCTCAAAATAAAAAATAAAAAGGGCTGGGACTGTATCAGTGGTTTATCAGGGACTGTGGAGTTTAGGCTTGTCCAGGCACTGCTGGGTTTCCCCAGGGGCTCTGGAGATGCTGAYGTGGAACAAGCATCCTGGGGAAGGCAGGTCTGTGGCAGGTGTCTAGGGGCTGGATTCTTACTACACATTGATCCATCTGCTCCGCTGGGAGCTTGGAGCAGATCATGGCTTCACTGTTAAGGGGCTTCACTTCCCGCATTAAGCTTTAATTTTGATGGTAGGCACTGCAGGTCTGGAGATCAATGAGGGACACTCTCAGCTCCTTCAGTGTATAAGATGGTTTGATATCTGCAGGGCCCCAAAAAGTCAAAGCCGTCTTAAAGAATTAGAAAGCAGCTCTCGGCTCTGGATACAGATTTCATGCCTGTGATTTTCAGATAGCTCTGATCTCAAATATTCTGCCCCCGTGTTAGACAGCATCCTGACTTTTGGGTTTTGGAAACAGCCTGCAAAGCTGAGCTGCCTGGCTCTGAACGAGGCTGTGGTCAGTTGACTCCTGTTCAGATGGCCCAAATTAGTGATCTTATGATTCAGAAAAACATAAAACAATGAATGATGCAGAATTAAGTTGTTTATCTTTGCAGCTGGGCCTGTAATCCCAGTGGCTTGGGAGGCTGAGGCAAAAGATTGTGAGTTCAAAGCCAGCCTCAGCAACTTAGTGAGGCCCTAAGCAACTCATTGAGACCCTGTCTCTAAATAAAATATAAAAAGGGCTGGGGATGTGGCTCAGTGGCTAAGTGATCCTGGATTCAACCCCTCTGTACCTGCCCCCCCAAAAAAAGTGTCTTTAGAATATAGTTTTATTCTTACATAGAAATAAAGGGTAGCCATGATATACTACACAGACTCTAGACTATCTGCAAAGAATCTAGCCTATGGACACGTAGATGAAGCTCTGCTTTACCCAGAGCGTTCCCGAACTGGTCTCTATCTCCTCCCTACCCCTCTGGAGATCCACCCAGGTGCTGCAGGAGAGCTCTGTTACTTCTCTCAGACTGAGCAGACTGTCTTCATTCTCTCTCCATTTCCCTGTTCTTTTTGCTTTGCACACAGCATGACCGCTCAACAAGARTAAAAGCAGGAATCGATAAGCAAAGAAATCATAGCAGAAGCGACATGAAGGAGGCTTAGGATCCGGAGAAACCTAGAGCAGGCATTAAGTGTGGCTGGGTAGGATGGAGACCTGGGCGGGCGGGAGTGGGAGGCCCAAGGGCATCTCCTCAGCCTTACACTGGTACTTGCTCCTGAGTAGCCCCACTCTGTCACCCAGCCGGAGTCTGCGTTCAGCAGAGGGCAGACAGATGAGAAGATGACAGGGCCCAAGGTAACCGGGCAGGCACGATGGTACTGGACACGTCCCCCTGGAAGTCAGGGTGGGAGATGATCCGGGACACAGGTATTATCCTCTCTTTGGGGTCTGGGTGACCAGAGATCTGGAGCGAGCCCATCAAGACATTATATTCTCTGGTGTCCTTTGACCTGGGAGGAAGAGGAACAGAAGAGCATCGTGGGTTTCGTAGGGTGTCACAGCCAAGCCCACTGTTCTCTGGTCCTGTCTAAGCATTCATTCCTTCCACAAGTGACATGCCCTCACGGGGCTTTGGTCCTAAGGAGTGTGCACAGTTGAAGGGGAGAAGAGAAAAGAGAGACATAACAAATAAGTGAACAAGTACCATTCAGAATTTGAGGTTGTGATCAGTGCTACAAAGACAACAAACAGGATTTCAAAACAGAGTGTAGGAGGTGGGAAGAGTCCTTGGATCTGGTGGTCAGGGAAGGTTATTTTGAAGAAACCACTTTTTAACTGAGACCCAAAATGTTGGCGTCAGCATGAGAAGAGCTACAAGATAAAGCATTCCAGATGCAGGGAATAGAGTATGCAAAGGCTGTGAGCATGAAGCAGAGCTTATTAGTTTCCAGAAACTGAAAAGCTGGAATACAGGGGATGCGATTGGAAAAGTGGGCAGGCAGACACTGGGTGGTTTGTGGCTTGGAGGCCACAAGGAGGGGGTGACATGATTTCACTTCCAACATTAAAAATATCACTCTTGTGTCCATGAGAGTAGCAGAGCTTACACTGTTGCAGCGGTCCAGGGACAGCTATGTCAGGGTCACAGTATATTTTGGAAGTGAAACTGGAAGGACTGATTGGACACATTGGATGGGGAGAGTGAGGGAAAATAAGTGTTTCTTTTTTCTGATTTTCTTTTTKCATTTCTGGGGATGGAATCCAGGGCCATACTAATTGAACCACACTACCAGCCCTAAAATATCAGTATTTCTTTTTTTATAGAGAACTTTATTTATTTATTTGATGTGGTGTTGAGGATGGACCCAGTGCCTCACACGTGCTAGGCCAGCACTCTACCACTCAGCCACAACCCCAGCCCCGAGATATCAATATTTCTCATTTGAGCAACTGGTCATGTTGTTAAATGAGATGGGAGAGACAGAAAAAATGKATTTGGGGATAATGGCAGTGGTAAAATGGCAGTTTCGTTTTGATCGTGTTACCTTTGAGACATCTCAAAGCAAATGTGTCAGGACTAGGGTGTGGGGCTAGAGATTTGGGTGTAAACAGAACTTATGTGACATTTAGTCACAGGAACTGGTAAGTTCACCCAGGGAGCTTGAAGAGGGCTGGGAGGTGTGCATGGAGATCTGGGTGTGCTGTAAGGCCCGGGACCTCCTGGGGAATGCCTCCTGGGGGAGGTTTAGATCTTTCAGACCCTCATCGCTGTCAAGAGTGAAATCACCCACAGTCTGCGAGTAGTTGCTCTGAGCTGAGCATTGGGGGGAAACACGTGGACCACTGACAAGGCACCCCATGCTGCACTGCAGTGTAAGATGAACCCCTCCTTTGCCTCGCCCAGGAGCTCAGCCACCTGGCTTCCCTGCCAGGTCCCTGGGAAGGCCAGCACTCACCGGAAGCAGCTCGCCATGGTCAGCACCCATTTCTGCGAGATGAGGGAGGCCGAGCAGATGTGAAGAAAGCCCTGGCGGACGCTGACCTGCCAGGGCCACTGCCCTATGTTGGCCTCCAGGCCTGAGAAGATGCCCGATGGGACAGCAGGCCGCCGCGTATTGCCAACAAAGGGAGAAAGGCCTGCGGTGTCCTTCTGCAGCCCTGACCCTGCCTGCTCATTGCCCAGCCAGTGTCCTTGGCACGGGTTCCTCCTCCTCAGTCCACGCAGGCAGGATGCCCCTGCCTGGCGCCTTACTTGACTGCAGGAACTCCGATTCCTGCTTATCTGCACCTGGGGAGAGAGAAGGGGGAACTGGGCTATGGAGGGCTCCCAGCGCAGGTCCTGTGCACTCTTCCTGGGGCATAAGCCCATGTGTCTGCTTGGGACTTAGCTCAGGCCCAGCAGAAGGAGCAGCAGGACTGCAGGGCCAGCAGGACACATGTCTCCCTCAGGAGCAGCACTTCCTGTTTCCTGGGCTCAGGCTGCCAGGCAGAGGCCAGCTGGGGGGCAGCCAGGGGCAGACCGGCTTCTCCTAGATGGGCTCTGGTGCCCCGCCCTTCTGGTCTTCACCCCCAGCCTGATTCTAGGGACTTGTGAAGAGCAGCTGCAGACCCAGGGGAGGAGCTGGGGCCTGAGGTGCCCCCTGCTGTCCTGGGAGAGCCAGGAGGCTGGGCTTGCTGCCAGTGTGGGGGATGGGAAGGGGGCAGGTGGGGGGTCTTGCACTGGCAGGAGGATTCCTTGTTCAGTGCAGAGTGTCCCTCAGCTCTGGCCACCCTCTTGCTCCTCAGGGACCTGCTCTCGTTGCTTTGGTTCACTTCTACCCTGACCAAGGGTGAACCAACTCTGCACCAGCCCCTGAGCTTGGGTCACAAAGGGCTGTGCAGACCCACTGCCCCAGGTTCTGGGCCTGCGCATGCATACAGGACTCCAGAGTGAATAGGAAATAAGCCAGTTGTCTAGCTGACCAGTGTTTCTGCTTCCTGTCTTTCCCTTTTGGCCCTCTGTCTACCTCATGTAATCTGTTCTTTGCTTTCCTCAGTCAGCAGATACTTATTAGGTCTTCACTGTGTGCAAGATACTGTGCCAGATGAGGAACAGGGTGAATGTAGAATCATGCATGGTGGGGGCTTCCTGTCCCCAGGGAGTTGACAGTCTAGTGGGAGAGGTGGATTATGGGAATAACTCGGGAGGTTCTTATTTATAATTTACATCCTATTTATTAAAGGGAGACAGGGGACTAAGGTATTTAGTGTTAGTGCCAACCTAGTGCCAAGCAAAGGTTGGTTGTTATTTTTTTTTTGTACCAGGGATTGAACTTTGGGGTACTCGACCACTGAGCTACATCCCCAGCCCATTTTGTATATTATTTAGAGATAGTTGCTTAGAGCCTCAATAAGTTTCTGAGGCTGTCTTTGAACTCGCAATCCTTCTGCCTCAGCCTCCTGAGCCACTGGGATTACAGGCGTGTTCCACTATGCCCAGCTTGGTTGCTATTTTTAATAACATCCTCATGACGATGACAAAGAAAGAGTTATAGAGAGTCTTGACTCTTCCAGGCGCAGTGCTTGGCACAGGAGAAAATCATGAGAAAAATAAAGATGAACGGGGTTAGAAGGCCTGTAGAAATAAAGGGGAAGATTATAGTTCCAACAATCCAGAGTGGGAGTGTAATATTATAATCATTGGAAGCCTTCTTGAGGCTGAGGCCAAAAAAAAGAAGGATTGCTACATCTGATCTGATAATAACAAGCATTCTTTTTAGTCAGGAGATAGGTTCCCCCTCTTCGGCAATAAATTCAATGAGTTTGTCACAACATTATAAAAAGCACATTGGTTAACATAATGAACAGTTTGGGAGACTAGAAGAAGCTGGTTTTATATTGCCTCTCAGCAAACGCTGACACCACCATCTTGAATCCTGACCAAGGCGTTCCTGTGAGGAGATAAACTGAGTTAATTGAAGTGTTTATATTTCTTGTTACCTAACTTGAAACAGAAGTGGAATCTGAGAAGATGCCTTCGCCCTACTTCAGACACCGCCGTTTCCAGCCCTGCTCTGGTGAGGGGCAGGCCCTTTGGCCCTCTTGACATTTCGTGTAAACCAAGGCACCTCACTCTGCGTCCAGGGGAGCCCATCTCCKCGCGTGGAGGCCACAGAGTATCAAAATCAGAAATCAAAGGGCTCAACAAGTCTCATCAAGGGAGTGGAAAAGGCCTCAGAATAGAAAGCAGAAATAATCTTGGCCATTGTTCCCAGGAATTAKAGTTTTTAGTGTATGATTTTTGTAGAGTCTATTACAAACATTAGAGGGAAAGACGGTTTAAAATCTCTTTACAAGTTGTCCTTTTGGTTTACAAAATGAATAACTCTCTATTCTTAATTCTATTGCCTAATTTAAAAATGATTCTTGGGCTGTGGCTGTGGCTCAGTGGTAGAGTGCTCGCCTAGCATGCACGAGGCGTTGGGTTCGATCCTCAGCACCACATAAATGTAAAGATATTGCATCCACCTAAAACTTAAAAAATAAATATATTTTTAAAAAAGATTCTAAATAGTTTAACATGTAGTCACAGAAACCTGATGGTATTTTATATTTGCATAATGTTTCCATCCATACAGCCACAATGGCTCTGTTGAGGTAAGCATGATTTTGTTCCCATTTTATGGATAAGGAAACGGAGGTCCTTGGAGGTTAAGTGACTTAACTAATTATATAATACCATGCAATAACAGAGCTGAATGTCACTTCTATTTTCAGTCTTGTAATCGGATTCAAACCTAGATCCTCTGACTTATCAGCCAGTAATTTTTCCTGTCCTGCTACAGCAGCCTTCAAGAGTAGAGCTCATTCATAGTCATGTGGCCTTTTTTTGKTTTTGTTTTTGCCTGTGCCAGGCACTGTTCTAGAATAGATATGTGATAGCATAGGGGGAAAAAAAAAGCCCCAGTCTGGATCTTTGGTTTTGTCCCTCTTTTCAGGGGTGGGTCATTTTGAGAGTTTAGCGTGCTCAGAAGCTGTTGTAGCTGACATTTGGCAAGATCAACAGTGGGGCCTGATGCGGTGGTGCACGCCTGTAATCCCAGGAGCTCGGCAAGCTGAGGCAGGAAGATTGCAAGTTCAAGGCCAGCCTCAGCAACTTAGCAAGGCCATAAGCAAAATAAAATTTAAAAAGGACTAGGGATGTAGTTCAGTGGTAAAGCGCCCCTGGATTCAATCCCCAGTGCCCCACTCCCTCATAAAAGATGAGTCATTAAAATAGAACAATTCTTCTTGGATTAGAACTTGAATCACTGCAAAGTGAATCTAGGTTGCTRTTGATTTCTTTTTAGGTGGCAAGGCTCATTGTAGAATTTATTCTATGTACAGAATTTTTAAAGTTATATAAATAACAAATCTGGCACGGTTTGGGGAGGCTAGGTGGTTTACAGGAAATGTATTTGTACTGTGACTATGCTCTTAATGGTTAAAAAAAAAAGAAGATTATCAACCATTCCCTTTTTATGGTGGATATAGAAAAAAATTTCAGGTAGATAAAATGTATATAGTAAAAATTTTCTATGTAAAAAAATTTGGTACAACTTTCTGTACAGTATTGCTTCTCAGCTGGCATAGTCTAATCAAGTTATAGGTCAATAAAGTTGCTAAATTTTATTAAAAAGAAAAAGGCCCCATCCTTATGGAGCTTACACTCTAGTTGTCAGATCATGACCAGTGCTTTGGAGAGAAAGAAAACAGCTGAGAATCCAGGCGCAGTTGCACACCTGTAATCCCCGCRGCTCAGGAGGCTGAGGTGGAAGGATTGGATGTTCAAATCCAGCTTCTGCAGCTTAGTGAGGCACTAAGTAACTCAGTGAGATGTTGTCTCTAAATAAAAAATACTTCCCCAAAAAAATAATAATCAAAAAGACTGGGGGTGTGGCTCAGTGGTTGAGTGCCCCTGGGTTCAATCCCCACTAACCAACTAACTAACTAAAGAAAGAAATAGAACAGCAGGGGAGGAATACAGGAGTGAGGGCATATGTGTCCATAGCATGGTCAGGGATGGCATTGTTGGTGATTTCTGAGCAGGGACCCCAGGTAAGAGAAGAAAGGAGCCAGGTAGATAATGGAGGGAAGAGGAGTTGAAGCACAGAGAACAGCAGTGCAGAGCCCGGAAGCCCGTGTGTCTGGGAACACTGTCCCTAGAGCAGAGAAAGTGAGGGCCTCCCACCTCAGGGAGTGGGTCCGGGCTGTATAGACTCTCATAAGCTGTTGGGAGGGTTGGTTCTTATTCTTAGTGGAGAGGGGAGATTTTACCTGACTTAAATGTTTTAAATGCATCACTCTGGCTGCTGGGATAATAATGTTCAGGGGAGAATCAGGGAAACCAGCAGAAAACGATTGCAATAATCCAGAGAGGAGGTGATGGTGCGTTTGGATCAGGGCTACAGGAAAGTGGTAAGAAGGGGCAGGTTCTGGTTGCGTTTCTGAAGTTGGGGCCCACAGGTCCTGGATCAGCTGTGGGTGTGAGAGGAAGAGGAGTCAAGGATGATTCCAGGGTTTTTGGCCCAAGCCCTGGGGAGAGTGGAAATGCCATTTCTGAGATGGGGCACAGTGTAGGAGGGGCAGGTTTCTGGAGGTAGATGAGTTCACTGATAGGCATGTCAAGGTAGGAGTCCAGCTGCACATATCCGCTAGGCAATTGAATATACGAATCTGGAATTCAAGAGGTTAGTCTAAACCAGGGCTGGTAGGGGCCTTCAGTGTGTCAGAGTACTTAATGCTCTGAGACAAGGAAAAGTGAGCGAAGGAATAGATAGAGTCCCCTGGTGCTGGACACCCTGCTGCACCCTGGTAATCCCAGCCACTCAGGAGGCTGAGGCAGGAGGATTGCAAGTTGCAGGCCAGCCTGGGCAACTTAGCAAGACCCTGTCTCAAAGTAAGAAATAGAAAGGGCCATGATTGTTGCTTAGTGATAGAGCACCCCAGGGTTTAATCTTCAGTTTAAATAAATAGCTCACTGTGAGTGCTGAGAATCGACCTGATTGCATTTTAGATGAGATACACAGGAATCAATAGGAGAATGAGAAGGTGGCTTTGAAGTGGGCCAAGAACAGACACAGGTGTTCTGGAAGCCAGGGAAAGAAGGTGTTTCCAGGAGGAGGGAGGGGTCAGCTGGCCGATGCTGCAGAAGACTGAGAATGGGCTGTTGGATGAGCACCGAGGAGTTAGGGGGGAGGTGATAATTGGAGAGGAATCTGAGAGAGGAAATGGAGTTTTACTGAAGAGGGAACTAGAGAAACAAAGGGCTGAAGTATGGATGGCTTTTTTGTTCTTCTTCATGTTTGTGTGCTAATGGATTATCTGGCAGAGGTGGAAATGAATGAGGAAGAACAAAAGCAGGACTGTTCCTGAAGTGTGGCCTCCTTGAGCCAGGGGACTGAG